TTTCTTTGAATTCTGAGATTGGTGTGAAACGTGTAAGGTGGAATGAGAACTCAGCGTTCTTGTGGCATAAGAGATTAGCCCATATTTCAAGGGAAAGAATGATGTTGTTAGTAAAAGACAATATTCTTCCTTCTCTTGATTTTACTGACTTTGGGACGTGCGTGGATTGCATTAAAGGCAAGCAAACCAAACACACCAAAAGGGGCGCCACAAGGAACACTGCTCTTTTAGAGATCATTCATACAGACATATGTGGTCCATTTGATGTTCCCTCCTTTACTGGAGAGAAGTATTTCATCACCTTTATAGATGATTATTCACGGTATTGCTATCTTTACATGTTGCATGAAAAGTCTCAATCAGTAAATGTCGTCGAGCTTTACATTAATGAAGTTGAGCGGCAACTTGGAAAGAAAGTGAAAATCATCAGATCTGACAGAGGTGGAGAATTTTATGGTAGATATGATAAATCAGGACAACATCCTGGTCCATTTGCTAAACTTCTAGAAAGCTTGGGTATTGTCGCTCAATATACAATGCCAGGTTCACCCTGGATGAACGGTGTTGCTGAAAGACGTAACAGAACCCTATTAGAGGCTGTAAGGGCAATGATGAGTAAGACAGACTTACCCAGATCATTGTGGATGCATGCACTTATGACTGCAGTGTATGTCGCAAACCGGGTTCCTAGTAAGGCAGTTTCAAAGACACCATTTGAGCTATGGAAAGGATGGAAACCGAGCTTGAGACACTTACACGTTTGGGGTTGCCCCGCAGAAGCACGCATCTACAATCCTCAGGAGAAGAAACTCAATTCTAAAACCATTAGTGGATTTTTCATCGGGTATGCTTCTAAATCAAAGGGGTATAAGTTTTACTGTCCTAGCCATAGCACTAGAATAGTAGAGACTGGAAATGCCAAATTCCTAGAGAATGGCGAAGTCAGTGGGAGAATTGATGAGGTCATCATCAATGAGATTAGAGAGGAAACTTCAGTTCTTATTTCTGTACCTCTAATCTCTAACCATGAAGTTCTTATCGACGTTGTCGATGTAAGGGAACAACATGAGGATGATGAACCTCAACCCATCAATATGACTCCTGCCATCCCTGAAGTCATTGAAGTGGCAGATACACCTATAGCTGAGGCTCCTGTAAGGAGATCCACAAGACCTCGTAGGACGGCTATCTCAGATGACTGCATGGTATATATGCTACAACATGAGTTTGACATAGGATTGGATAAGGATCCAGTGACGTTTTCACAAGCCGTAAAAGGCAATGATTCTGATAAATGGATTGATGCCATGCGTGAGGAATTGAAATCTATGGCTACAAATAAAGCGTGGGAGTTAGTTGCTCTACCTAGAGGGCATAAGGCAGTCGACAGTAAATGGATCTTTAAGACCAAGCGCGACTCCCTTGGCCAAATAGAGCGACATAAAGCCCGTCTTGTAGCCAAAGGTTTTAACCAGAAAGAAGGCATCGATTATAATGAAACCTTCTCTCCAGTTTCGAAGAAGGATTCATTAAGAATCATTTTGGCGTTAGTAGCTCATTTTGACCTGGAGCTACATCAAATGGATGTAAAAACGGCATTTCTGAATGGAAGTTTAGAGGAAGAAGTCTACATGTCTCAAACTGAAGGTTTTTTTGAAGATGGTAAGGAGGACCTAGTCTGTTTATTAAGGAAGTCAATATATGGACTTAAGCAAGCCTCTCGGGAATGGTATGTTAAGTTCCATAATACCATAACTGCCTTCGATTTTACGGAAAACATTGTTGATCAATGTATATACCTGAAGATCAGTGGGAGCAAGTTTGCATTTTTAGTCCTGTATGTTGACGACATTTTGATCGCCAGCAGTGATCTGAGCTTACTCAAAGAGACCAAGGATTTCTTATCTAGTAACTTTGAGATGAAAGATATGGGTGAGGCGTCTTATGTGATAGGGATAGAGATATCCCGTGACAGATCACAGAGGACATTAGGTCTGTCTCAGAAGGCATATATCTCAAAGGTACTAGAAAGATTCAGTATGACTAAATGCAATTCCAGTATAGTTCCTATTCAGAAGGGCGATAAGCTTGACTTGAAGCAATGCCCCAAATCTGATGAGGAACGTAAAAGAATGCAAGATATCCTTTATGCTTCAATAGTTGGAAGCCTTATGTATGCCCAAGTTTGTACCAGACCGGACATCAGTTTGGAGTAGGTGTGTTGGGTCGCTATCAAAGCAACCCTGGTATGGAACACTGGAAGGCCGCAAAAAAGGTGTTAAGGTACTTACAAGGGACTAAGAGTCACATGCTCACTTATAGGCATTATGATCAGCTTGAAGTGATTGGCTACACTGATTCAGATTTTGGAGGATGCGAGGATAGCAGAAAAAGCACCTCAGGTTATGTGTTTGTCTTAGCGGGAGGAGCCATCTCCTGGAAAAGTGCTAAGCAAACCATTATTGCGTCATCCACTATGGAGGCCGAGTTTGTAGCATGCTTTGAGGCTACAAATCAAGGATTATGGTTACGGAACTTTATCTCGGGGTTAAGCATTCTGAGCTCGATCGCAAGACCCTTGAAGATCTTCTGTGACAATGTTGCGGCCGTTTTCTTTTCGAAGAACGATAGGTATTCTAAAGGTATTAAACACATGGAGATGAAATACCTATCAGTTAAGGAGGAAGTTCGGAAGAGAACAGTATCTGTGGAGCACATTTCGACCAGTGCTAATATAGCAGATCCACTCACTAAGGGACTATCACCCAAGACATTTTTGATGCATGCTAGCCTTATGGGTCTTGAAAGTGGTACTTAGTCTTTATGTTATGTGGATTGATAGTGTTTAGAAAAGATATTGTGTTTTGATCACTTTATGTTATGAATATTCCGAATTATTCTGTTTTCACATTATTGTTTTGTATACATGATTGATGGTTGAAAAACAGAAATAGTCTTTTCCTAGAGACATTAAAGAGACCCTTATGCTTACTCCCCTATACGGATCGTTTGTCATGGGACAACATTCAGTAGTAGATGGAAGGAACCATGTTGAATAGATAATGTGGAACCGCCATTACTCTATTGTTGTTTTAGGACTCTCGATGTAGTTAAGATGAAGCCATTAAATTGATTTAGCGTCCTTTGCAAACTTATGTTTACCTGCATATAACAGTAAGAAGATGTACCTATGGTCCAAGTGGGAGAATGTAAGAATAATCTTATACGTTATAGTATTTAATTATTATTACGTTATTTTGGACCTATAGCTAATCTTAAATTAGTTAATTGCGGTAATAGGCTAAATATAAAAGTTGAGCTTTTCAGTGGGAGTAACCTAGTTAATTTAATTGTTGACGGACCGATTAAATTAATTAGGTCAAAGAAGCCCGGTCCTCCTCTCGCCCTTATTTATATAAGCTAAACCGTCCTTAGCTGAAAAAAATAAGAGAAAAACACAAATAAAAGGTTTTAGGAAAAGAGAGGAGAAACCAAGGGTTTTCACCACCAAGCACCACAGCGCCTCTGTCGTCCCCTTCCGTCGTCGATTCCGCCGCCCCACCGTCGCCGGAATTCGTCCATCTTACACGCCAGAAACCATGTCAGACCAAGGTACGTAATGAATGTGATTTGTTTCTAATCGAAGGTCGTGTGAACGAATTAAAGTAATTGTATCGTTCGTAATTGGGTTATTAATGTTTAAACCCTAACTAATATCGGCAACCTGCAATGGATTGTAAGGGTATAGTCTTTACTGTGTGAAGGAATTTCTGGAGGTTACTTTCATGAACTACTTTTTTTGTTTAAATGATGCGTATAAGACAATTTAGTGTTGAGATAATAACAATGATGACAAGAAGAAGAAAAGGTGAATTTTTTCTTGAAAAAATAAAATATAATAATTTTGCAGGAATGTAAAACAAAATGTATCATATTTACGGAGACTAGAAATATTTTTAAACCAAATAACAATAATAGTGGTCTTATTTGAGGAAGTATGTTATGTGTTAGTTTGAAAGTCCATTTGATTAAAATCGAATTGGCTGAATCTGTTGAAATTGATGAAACGTTGGTTGAAGTGGCTGAATTTACTGAATATGGAAAAATCATATTTAAAATATATTTTATTAATAGATTAAAGAAATAATTAAAATAACTAAAATGATCATCTACAATAACTCTAATCAATTCACCAAGAAAAGTAATTTTAACCTTACTTATTTTGGTTATTAAATAATTCAAGATGTAAAATTAAAAGTCAAATATTTGATAAACAAATTGATCGATAAAATTGATAAGTTGAAAATATGGGTTATTGAACTGATTCTAAATATTAAAAGATCCTGTATATCTAAGAATAACTATTTGATTAACTTATACTCCATCTAATACTTATATGTAAAGGAGTTGTTTAAATAGGAAATTTCAAACCAGGATCACTTTTATAGAACTTATTACTTTTTTAAAAATAGGATATAGTGTCGTGATGAAGAAGAATAATGTCAAGTAGTCTATACTACGTATAGTATGTTATTTTGGAATGTTATAAGTGTTATTACTTTTAAGTTTTCCTACAGTACTTGTATATATATTACATCAATCCTAGAAAGGTTTGCTCTAGAAAGGTTTGCTATATTGATTTTTCATGGTCATTGGTGACAAACTTTGGAAAATGATTTTAATTATTATATTTATAAACTTATTCTTTTATAAAAACATTTTGAATAAGGAACATTTTGATTTAATTTTTATATTCAAAGTAATTTAGAATCAAAGTAAAACATTATTTTTTATATAATGGTTGTGAAAGAACTACTACGTCTTATATCCAGTAATTAATTAGAAATAAACAAATTCTTTTTATTTTTTAAATTTTAAAAGGCCTTATTTATTTTTTATTACAAATAAAGGCAATTAGGTGACTGCATATAAATTTAACCCGTGCATAAACGGATGATTCGTCCTCCTTTACTTGCATTTTTATTTTCTATTTGGACACTTTAATTTATCTGTTGCATTTTTAGCTCTCCAAAGATTGTTCCAGCTAGAAAGGAAGATGAAGACCAAGGCGAACTTGTCAATTAAACAACTTATCATTGTCATCCTTTTATTGATCATCACTCTCATCGCTGACGTGTGTGCAGATCCAGTATCCGCAGTAGCTGTAGGCGGGCGCAGCGGCGGCGGGCGCAGCGGCGGCGTCTCTGGCAGGGGCTCGGGCACCGGTGGTGGGGAAGCTGGGGGAGGCAGCGGCGGTAATACTCGAATGGTCCCGGCCGGCAAAGGTACTAATAATAATCAGCCCAAAAAAAGGAATGGCGCCCAACTCACCAAACCTCCCTTCATCCTACCCGGCCGCCATGGCTTTGCTTGGGATACTATTATTTCCATGTTTGGACTTCATCTTGACGCTGTCATCATCTTCAACCTACTCGTCTTTTTTCTCATCTAACTTTGAATTCCTCCATATTTGATCTTCATGCATTTCTTTTCCTTACCTTCTGTATATTGTCGCGAAAAAGAGTTATCATATTGACTTTTATTAGTTATATATAAGAGTTCAAATACAAATAGATCTTCTGTATTTATATATAGTTATCATATTGACTTTTATCATATTAGTTATCATTCTGTATATATATATATACACACACACAAGAGAGGGTTCAAATACAAAGAGGTCTTTCCATGCAAAGTGAGAATTAATTTTGTGCATTCATTTTCAGATCTAATGGCTCAAATTGTGCCAAAAATGCACAAAATGTGATAAAAAACGCGGTGGCAATTTCGTAAATAAATTGAAGTTTTCTGCCGCTGCGAAAAACTGCAACAGAAACATGCAATAGTGCAAAGCGGTAAGGAAAAAGTGCAATTGTTTGCACTTTGCACGGGAGCACCTCTTTCTATTTGAACTCTTCCCTATACACACACACACATACATACATACATATTGTAACGACCGTCCCCAAATGGCAATTACGATACTCAAACATAAAAGAAACTCAATATACAAAGCGGAAATAAAAGAACAAAGCCTCGAGATGAGACTTTATTTCTTATACTCGTAATCGAACCTTATAACCATAACAAAAGGCATCCAAAATAAAACGTCTTTAAAACTGTTACACCTGATCAGGATTTCAAAAGCATTTAACCACCCGTAGGCGTACCAAAGCACTAAAAGAAAAACACAACAAATAGCCATATCTTCTCCGTTAACCCATCCAAAACCTTATCCCCGACTCAATACATTCTCTCAGGCTTCCATACTTCGTCTGTTACCTATACATGAGAACATAAGAGAATAGAACTCTCGTAAGCAATAATGCTTAGTCAGTCACTATTTCATCCACTAAAACATTTAAGGAATCTCAGCTAATCATAAACAGATACCCATGCTTAATACACCACACATATATTATAATCACACATGAAATGCGCATAACAACACATAAACGTTCACGTATCAAACATCCATAGATTTCCTTATTCATCAATCTTTCTTCTCATCTTGTTCTTTGAGTTTATGGGCCCGTAGCTCGTGTTCTGGACCCTCGCCGATGACCTCGGGTAGCTAGCCCGCAGCCCATCAGAAGCAACCCCGCGACTCCCTGCGGAAGGATGTCCCGTTACGCTCAACTCAGGCAGTTACTTGGGGGCACGACTACCTTAGAACATCACTTATCATTCATTAGTCATCATTATCATCATAACTTCCTTTTCATTGTTGGTTCCATGTGAACACAACCTAAAATCATAACATAGATTCTGAATACCTTACCTTAGGTAAATCAATAGCTCCACAATTCAGACCACCCGTCAATAGATACATATAACTTGGAATTCACATAATCTCATGCCATACCATTTCAAGTACTCAAGCAAACATATCATATTCATAATTAACTAGACTTACATACTTTATTTAGAACTATCATGTATAGGTGGTGATGACTTACCTGATTCAAACTGAGTATTTACCCTTGTTTGTGCGTGTACGACGTCCACGAGCAATGGTTCTCTGATGAACAACTATAATTATAAATTCACAATTTTACGCTTGATAAAACTTAAATTCATGTCTTTAGAAAAATCCTTAGACTTAAAGATAAGGGGAAGTTCGCAAATCAGCTCCTACAAGTGAGAAAATTCTCAAATTCCTACAACAAATCGGGTTTAGCTTTGAGGTAGCTAGATAACTGAAAACCAATTGAATTTCATGAATGAAGAATCATCAATAACTAATTAATTACTATAATATCAATAAAACCCTGTGTATTTACTTAGAACCAACCCAAAATCAACCATAATTGTGGAAATCCCTAAAATAAGACCTAAAACCGAAATAGAAAAGAAATACTTCATATGAAGTGAAAATCTTACCAATTAATGATCTTTGATGAAGAAACGTGTTTGATTTGAGCTTGAATCACTTTGAGGAAGATTTGGGATCAATTTACAGAGAGAGGGACGAGCAAAAGTCAGTTTTGGGGTAAAAAGCTTCGTTTTTCGTTAAATATGCATTTTTCCACCGACTGCCAAAACTAACCCGAATGGTGCCGGTTTGGCCCTGAACGGCGCCGGTTCTCCCTGCCAACCAACTCATAAACATTCTGTTTTGGACCGGCACCGGTCTAGGGCCCTCCGGTACCGAAAATTGTCATTTTCTGGCGCTTAATCGATCCTGATTGTTGCTGATTAGGCCCTAGACCCTCGATGACATTTAAAAATATATTTTAACCACCCGAAGACTATATAACATGCCAACTAACTTATTATACCGTTACATCCGAAATTAAATGATTATTATGGTGCAATTTCGTTGCTCATCGGATACTGTCGCTTGTCACGTTCAAACATATTACAAGCATGTAAATGTCAATACTAATATCATACAATGCAAAATCACATGATATCCTTAAACTTACATATATTATATCATACCCAAAATCATATGTTATAGCACGATCATATTAATTGTGTGAATCCCAGGTCAACAGTCGAATAAGAAACAATTCATAAAACAAACAAATGTTCATTTTTTTATCATGTGTTAATGTAGCTAACTATCTATACACCAGTCATATAAGAAACAATTCATAACAATAAATTTGTTTCTTATACCAAATGGAATCATTAAAGTTATATTTAAAGTAGTAGCAACACATAAACAATAAGTAAAAGACAAAAGTTAATATTTATTAACAAATGTTAAGTAGTTATGTCTTACAGCTTCATCTTCTAGCACTATTGCCTTGTATGTATTTCCAGGTCTATTTCTTGATTCTAGAGTTTGATACTTTGCAACCACTTTGACTTTACAACTCCAATGCCTAGTTATTTCGCCAATGGTTGATATCAAGTAATTCGATGTCATTCTTCACCTGTATCAATTACAACATAAGAAAAATATAGCAGGCCACAAAATGATCCATACTTGAAGCTAATGTCAATGAAAATGATGTATTCTAATTATTTATTGAATAATGTATTGAAAGAAAGACATCAAACGAAAACTTACAACATTTATTCTTGTTGGAGAGCATGTATAGAATCCAATATTTCAGGATAGACAATGTTGTTGGTGCAGCATGTTAGTTCATTTAGACCATCATCTGAGTGTATGATTAACTTGACAGATGATGCTTTTCTAGCCCTAGACATTGCTACATATAATTGGTCGTGCGAGAACACCGGTTCTTTCAAATAAATTCCAACCAAATCCAAGGTTTGGCCTTGAGATTTATTTATAGTCATGGCAAAACACAATTTTGCTGGAAATTGGTGTCGTTTCAACGGTATGGGGCATTTATCATCCTCTGACAGGTGCAATCGTATTTTAGGTATAAATACATTTTCCCCTTTGTGTTCTCCGGTTGCTATAATGCAACACCAAGAACATGATCACCCAATATATTACATACAAGTCTTGTCCCATTGCAAAGCCCTTCACACAGGTTGAGATTTCTGAATAAGATCAACAGGCAATGTTTCTTTAAGACCAACCTGTGTGGTGCGCATCCCGGCTGGAGAGATACAGTGTAGGTAGTCTTCACAATGCAGAAATTTGTTGGTATCTAAAGGCTCATCATAGCCTAAATAGCACTTTTCTTCTCCTGGGAATCTATTGATTAACACTGAGTTAATTTCATCTACGAACTCATTTTTTTGTTGTGAGTATTCCTCTTTGCATCAAAGAGAATGGTTCGGTCAGAAATGTACTTAGTGTGGGGTGCACATAGTTCAACATCGTATCAAGAGCGGTTGCTTGATCTGTACACGACAACAAAAAACTCTGTGGAATTTTAATTTTACCATCATGTGTAGTGGGTTCTGTTCCATTGCCTAGGCGCAAAATTAAAGATACTCGCAAAATGCATGATCAGTTTTTGCCCGCATGTTTTCAGTGAGTACCAAAGGTTGAATATGGGGCCAAATAGTAGGGGATCTCACCAGACTTGCATTTATGAAAGCTTCTTTCCTGCCATTTCGTATTACAGGAAGCGTTTGTCTAAAATCCCCGACAAAAACGACTACCTTTGAACCGAACAATTGTTTCGAATTCATGAGGTCTTGGAGTGTTTCATCTAGGGATTCTGCACACCTACGATTGGCCATTGAAGCTTCATCCCACAAGATTAATTTAGACTCTTTTAACAAGAGACCTTCGACACTTTGTTTGCTTATGTTGCAAATAAATATGTTTTCACCAACAATAGGTATTTTGAATCTCAAGTGTGTTGTTCGCCGCTCTGGTAAAATAGAAGCTGCTATTCTAGAGCTAGCTGTAGCAAGCACAATTCCTCCCTCTGATCTTATAGTAGCAAGTAAACATCGGTAGAAAATTGTTTTTCCAGTACCCCCTGGTCCATCGATAAAATAAACTCCTCCGGTCTTGGTGTTAACAGCATGTGTTATCATAGGTATGCCTTTTTTTGATCTGTGTTTAGCTTCTCAATGCACAAAAATTCATATTCACTCACTTTTATTCCCCTTTCAGCTTCAATTTCTCTTAAAATTCTCTCAGAAGCACTATTTGGAATGAAGTTTCAGCCATTTACCAAGTCAAAGGTTGTTAGACTTTTCCCATTACTTTGAAGTAGGGCTCCACAAGAATAACCCGAACCCGCATAACCCGCTCGACCCCACCCTACCCGACCCTATTTAATCGGGTATTTGATTTTTAAAAATAATCATGGGTTAAATATTATTGAACCCGCACCTAATGGGTAGGGTTGTGGAATTAAAATCTCCAACCCGATAGTACCCGACCCGGCCGAAGGTCATTTTACTATTATTATGCTACAATGTTTTCTTGGATAATTTCAATTTAAGACCAATGTGCTCTATCTAGGACTTTATGATACTAGAATTATAATAATTAGACATTTATCATTTTGACTAGGTGATTATTATATATTTATGTTTACTTCTAAATGATCTTCCTTTACGGAAGGATGTTTTAACATTATTATCTAATGTTTTAACCTTACAACTGGTGAAAAAGTATCAAAATAATCAAGGCCTTCTTCTTGAGTATAACCTTTAGCAACAAGTCTAGCTTTGTATTTATCAAGAGATCCATCAG